TTCAACCAAATTTTTGAACTTAATCTGACAGTCAAATTATGAATATAAATAGACTAATTTGTTTTGCTGGTTAAGTAGATCGTTGTGGTATATTTGAAATCTCAAATCAATTACGGATGAATGAGAAATTGCGATTCAAAGTTGAATAGAAAAGATGATATACGAACTGAAAAATGGCTAACTCTATCGCTCACCTTTCACTCGAGCTCAATGAATGCGAAATTGCGGTCCAAAATTGGATAAAAAAGAGGATATACGGGCTAAAAAATGACTAACTCTATCTCTTGAACGATATGCGAGAGAGAGAAGTGCAAAACAAAATGTGTCACTGTCGCTCGAGCCCAACGACAAGCTAGAGACAGCAAATTCTGCGACCTTTGACAAATGTTGCTGAGTTTGGGATGCGGCATTTCACTTACAATCTTTCCTCTTCTATATTATTTGCATTGAACATTATATCAAAAACTCTTGCAAAATATTCTTTAAAAGTCATTTTAAAACTATTTTCATGTAGAGAGAAAATTTCGTTCTAAATTCGCTGTTACTTGTGGTTTGAAGTGTTTCTACCATAAGTTGTATTCGTTGTATTTTGAGAGATAAGTGCCGTTGTTTGTTAGCATCATTGTGGGACAATATTGTCTTAAAGAGAAAGTTTTTCACTTGTCTCGAATTTCATTTTCACTTTATTTTTTTCTTCTTATCTTCTTTTTTTCCATTTTCTAGAGTTTAAACTTAAATATTTTCTTTGCTTTAACAACCATTTACATATACTTATGTCCCATCATTTAAGTGTTGTAGGATTCTTTTTTAGTTAATTCAAATGAAACTTTTAAATGATATAACCTTGTTACGTTGCTTCTCAAGCCGTTGAATGAACTTTAGAAGGTAGAAATACTATGGACCATTGGCGGCACGTTTGCTATGTTGAACTGGACGTGATTAAGTAATCGTAAAGGAGATAATCATCGTGGAGGGGAGTCATTCAGTAGTCTTAAATTCTAAAAATATGCTGTTTTATAAAGTGGTTAAACAATTTACAATTCAAGAACCAGTCCCAGACTGCTGATTTCTATTATATTTGTAAATGAAATATACATTATTTTTGCACCCCATACGACAAATTGTATAAGAAATACAGACAGAACCTTCATTTGGTATTAAAACATATAGAAAATCTAATAAAATTTGCATACAAACAAGCAGCGATGAAAAATAAAATTCATCATTCAAATCATGAATATCAGAATCAGATCAGTACATGAAG